CTACTGCTTATTCCCTGACTTTGATTAATCTACAGTCAATGAAGCAGCTTATCTGCATTGTTAGATTACCTGAGATGTACAGTGTGTGTGTGTGTGTGTGTGTGTGGTCACTTACATGCTCAGATGTGAAAAGGACAAGGCGGGGAGCAGCAGACATGCCCTTGGTCTTCACCTCTGGGAAATACTTGTACCGTGCGATCATCACACTGTACATGTTGGAGATAGCACCCCCTGTTAAGCACACCGCACACACATCAGTACCCTGGACAGCAGCACACAGTCTGTGCAGCGTACATGCACGTGGAATATTTGGACCAAAAGTCATACAGTAATATGAATATTGGCCATACATGGGTAGTGTGATTTACAGACCGACCTGGGGAAAAGAGGCCGTCACCCTCTCCGTTTGGCCAACCAATCATCTCTCTCATTTTCTTCAGAGTCAGCTGTTCCATCAACACAAACACCGGGGCGATCTCATAGGTGAACCTGCCAATCATAACACCGAGTAATGAATGCAGCACATCATTCAGAGACACTGCGCATTCTTGTGCACTCGTAAGGCAGAGAGTCCACACACTCCCCCAAAACACACACAGTGATATTCATTGTGCGTCTATATTATTCATTAGTCCTTCTATAATTCCATCTGCAGAGCACAAAAGTGGAGCTTGTGCTGACTGGGCTAATTAAAAAGTGGCCGATATGAGTCAACCAGCAAACATTCATATTCAAATGCCTCCTAAAATCACTCAGTGGTTTAATTAAAGCACACAAAGCTCTGATGGATATCTGTCAGTGGTGCCGATCTCAGCGGCGACTCTGAATGGGGCTGACGTGATGGCTGAGAGAACTCGAGTTTGTGTGTGTGTGTGTGTGTGTGTGTGTGTGTGTGTGTGTGTGTGTGACAGAAGGACAGGGAGAGGGAGTGCTTTAAAGAGATAACAGCCTCTGTTGGCCCCAGAATATAGAAAAAATGAGGGAGAGCCTATGCCTATGAATTTCATTATTTCATTAAAACGATGAAAGAGAAAAGATTCAAAAACAACAAAAAAAAAGAAGTAATCTTCACACTCTTGAAATGAGCCAACGCTTTTAAAGCTTGATATGTGCCTGACCTCTCTGTCAGTTAATAAAAGATAAAACGATATCACGTTATCTCCACGAACAGCCACCAACAAAACTCCTGGAGAAGCTAAAGTGGGTCAAATGTGTCACAGAAAGGAGGCCTGAGCTTTTGCTCTCTTTGCTAAGTGACATTTCACTGCTTCCCACGCGCACCCTTAACGCTGATCCCTGTTTACCCCGCTTCTAATGAGGCCAGTTACACAACGCTCCTCCACCTCCATCGCTGTAGCTTCACCCATCACCCAAATTAGAAGCAGCGTTATCTCCACGTTTCTTCGATTCCTCCCTGTTTTTTTCCCCCTCCCCTCAAATAGCTATCTGCAGGGCTGAGGCTGTTTTTTTATAGTTTGGTAGAAAGGGGGAGGTATAAAGGCCGCGAGCAGAGTGAGATTTAGGGAAACAATGCAATGAAGAGAAGTGTGACAGAGGACAACAAAGGAAGATGAGGGGATGATGCAGGGTGCGCACAGAAAAGCACGCAGCAAAGCAACATCATAAAGCACGCACATCGAAGAGGCTGAGTGACAGAGAACAAAAACAGAGAGACAAAGAGAAATTGAAAAAAAATATATATGAAAGATGAAGAAAAATAACCAAGGAGGCATTTTTCTTGTGTAAATATTTCTGCTGAAGATTTTTAGCTTTTGTAAATGCGCTGGACTAATCTATGACTTCTGGGCTGTGACTATGATCTGCTACACCCAAGGATAACATTTCACTTTTCAGTCCCTCACTGGCCTCATCTCACCAATTTAGTGTCCTTTGATATAGTGGAATTATGGTTTATATAAAGCAGACTTAATAACCTGGATGTCTCATATTCCTTTCTTCTCAAAACTCATCCCAGCCACAGGACAAAAAAAAGGCACAAAAAACCCCAGTGAACCTTTTTAAAATTCTCCTTCTCTCTGAGTCATTTCACGCTGTAATGACAATAATGGTGATCATTATCACAATCAGAGCCAATCATTGGTCTTTTCAGGGTGAAAATTACCCCTCAGTCACCTGCCTGTCCCCAGGGACAGCCCCTAAATGCCCTTATTATCATCATCAAGGGCACTCAATGTGTGTGTGTAAGTGTGTTTATGGACGCGTTTGTGTGTGTGTGTCTGTATGTGACTAACCCTCTGACCCCCCACCACCACCACACACATTCCTCTCAGCCCCTCAAAGGACCACTGAGTCCGTCTGTACCCACGGGGACAATAGAGCCGGAATGAGCACTCCGTGGGGAGCTGCGGCAGCCAGTTTCCACAATGTAACAGGGTTTTCTGTGCAGCCGGAGGACATTGTGTTTCAGTGTGGGGCCCAGCTGGCCTATCTGCTAACACCAGCTCACAATGAGCCTGTAGTCAATGGACTGGAAACCCTAGCTGCTGTATCTGGGACAGCCAGAGCTGGTGTGTGTGCATGTGTGCGTGTGTCATTATGGAAGCGTGCACAAGCGTGTGTGGGAAGTCAATGGCCCCGTCTCTTGGGGCATTCTTCCAACCAGGAAATGAGATGGGAAAGTTTTTCTAAGAAGGTAGTTTCCTATGCTAATGTTTTAATAGAAATTGGACAAATTAGGTGTCACAGTTTTCTTCTAGCCTTTGCTTTACTGTCCTCAGATTTCATCTTTTCTTCAGCAGCAATTTTGGAAAATATTCTTTTAGGTCTAAAGTGCATTGTCTTGTAATTACTGTTTATTCTGGGTGACCTTTTGTGCTGCACTCATTATGTTATTTTCACCAAGTCAGACTTATTTCACCAAGTCAGACTTATGCAGGTGTGATTTTTGCACTTCACTGGAAGTTCAGTTCAGTTTTCTCCTATCTATGAATGCGGCAAGTCTGAACTGAGACTGAAGTCACGATACAAACGTCTGTATTATCATATCATAGTTTCATTGTGATTGCCATATGAAGCTGTTAATGACTAGTTAAAGGAACCCAGTCTGTAAGAAGCTGTAATGTTTAAAGATTGTTTGGGTAATGGGTGAACTGTAAATATATACAGAAACCATGCAGTTTATATTTTCTTCATGATCTAATAATGACTACATGATCGAGCCTTAGCTTAAAACAATCCTCATTCTTTTGTTATTCATCTCCTCTAAAGAAATAAAAAAAAAAACCCTACGTAAATAAAGCACTCCTACTAAAGCTCAGCTGTTTTTGACAGACCTTAACTGATTTGTGTCTCTCACTAATAAAACAGCCTGCAGAATAAGTTGATTAGCTGATTGCCTCTTATTGACTTCTGTAACATTTCCCATTTCCAGCCTCCATTGTGGCATTTTGCAGCTTTTCTTTGTGTTATGTAACAATAGAATTTATTAGCCTTTGACTACTGACTGCTGGACAGACTAAACAGGTTATTTGATAATGACTGCTTTTGTTGTGGATAACTGGGGAATTTTTTTCACACACTTCTGATATTTCATACGAAAAAAGTTGAATCATTTCACTACGAAAATTTTTGGAAGGTGAAATTATTAATATTTTAAACATTGCTATTGATACACATCAAAATCTAAGAAAATCACATGAAAGTGACATTGCTATAAATATTAGGCTGATTATTGCTCAGTAAAAAAAATGTGGATGAACTGACTGTGGACGTCTGTATGAACCTCTGTGAGTGTGCTTGTGTTTTGCTATAATTTGTCACCTCACTCCAGTAATCGTGTCACAGAGTTGTGGCTTTTCGTTCACAGCATGTCTGCGTCAGGATCTGTGTGCAGCTGATGTGGGGTTCAGGCCTTCTCCACTCAAGCTGGGTGAACATGTAACTGTGACCTGAGATCAATATGCAATCTAACCACCCCCTGGGGCTTGGTGGTGTGTGATATACACACAGTATCGCACTGTGCCAGACTACCATCTGTCAATACAGGGGAAAAAAAAACACAAACACTTTATATAATCGGCCTCCTTTGACCAGTGGTGGAGTGAGCCCAGGGGTACATCATAAGCACTTCCGCAATGCTAATATATGATGATGACTAGAAGCTATTTCCACTGGCCTACTAACAGGAAATACCAGTTGTCCCCATGTGAATTGTATAGGTGTTTCCCTTCTATATAAAAACTGTGTCAGGCACTCGGTACAGAGAGCGTACTGTGTGACTTACATGTTGGTGTTGGCGGTGGAGGTGAGCCACTCTCCAGCCAGACCAATAATGTCTAGGCCAGAAGATAACTGGTTAAAGAAGCGTGGGTGACCTAAAGGGAGAAAAAAAATACAACATAAATATTAAAAAGTTCAATAATGGGTTTAAGTTCAGTCATCATTCAGGTTTCATTTTGTATTTCCATGGCCAACCGTAATACCAAAGGGATCTGACAAAGCGCTGCTCAGTGGGCCATAACAGCTGTATGACAAGCATTTAGACTCACACACACACATATACACACACAGTGACTGTGTGTAGACCTGGAGCCTGTATGCAGTCATGGATACATGTACACTGTGGTTATGGAGGTGCCTGCCTCACATAATAAACAGAGTAATAAAAAGAATTAACAATAAAAATGAAATAACAGGTGTGACAAAAGAAATGAAAGGTGTGTGGTTTCAGCACCGCCGACAGCTCCTCCAGCCCACAAACTACAAAAAACAGCCACAAAATGTTTTGAGAAGAAAGAGAGGGAGAGAAAAAAGTGCTACTGAGTTGTAGACACAGTCAGTGACTGCCTGATATATAAAACCCGGGGGACAGTTTGAGCGTTGTCGTTTTTAACAGCTTGAATCAGCCCGTGTTAGGATCCCCTCAGGCGACACATGCTTTAATAAGTCGGGGGGTGGAAGAAAGGGAGGATGTGAAGTGAATTACCAGGGGTACAATACATATGGCAGTCATCTAAATAGGCTGTGTACTCTGCGAGAAATGGCCCATTCTCTAATAGTTTGTGTCACATTCAAAATCCACACACTGAACATGTGTGGATATTAACAGAGACGTAATGTCCTGCTTTATTACTATAATGTGTGTGGCAGTAATAAGGCGCAGGACTACATCTCTCACTGCTGTTTCCTTTGAATGCAAAAAGTTAAAAGCTAATTGCATCTTCGCCCACATCACACATACCAATCTCCTCTGCCATCAAAAATAACACACACCTCCATGTGAGTTACCCAAGCACATATACAGTTGAATTTGTATTTCAAAAAAAAAAAAAAAAAAAAATACAAATCTTTCCCTGTTGGGGTAGGTTAATGTTTCCTCCACGATGAAGGTCGTCCCAAAGCCCTTACCTGTGCGGACGCCATATTTGAGCGTGTCTCTGCAGTCCACCAGGATCTGCTCCAGGGACTCGGGCTGGTCTGACAGCTCCAGGTTGAAGCCCTCGATCCCCTCCAGAAGCTGGTGAGGGTGGTGGAAATCCAAAACCTTTGTAGAACGGTCGAAAGTCTTCTTGACATAGTTGGTAAGGATGTCAACCACCTCCAGCAAAAACTGCATGGTGGGCTCTTCTCCATTTTTAGCCGGCAGGAGGTCTAAAAGAGGCGTGGGGCGGGGGAAAAGTAGGGGAAATGAAGCCATTTGTGATTCTGGGAGCTAATATCCGAGCACGTCAATCAATTAGCTTGTCTTTTGTAAAGCTTATGCACTTAGTTTGTTTTTGAGTAAAATTCTAAAATTTTCTCCATTTTCCCCTCAGTTTCTCGGGCTACATTTCTCTGCTAGATCGAATAAAGACGGCTCCATAATTGGTCTTAGGTTTTGGCTAGCAGGCTTTAAGTTGTGAAATAGCCATCAAAACACACAAAATACATTTCTCAGCAGACATTTTAACAGGAAAGAGTAAGCAAACACTTATGTTTATAATGACATCTAAATAAATTCTGTTCTTTGAAAGGAAAGTATTTCCTCCCATTTAATCTAAGAAAAAAATAGTGCTTTGTCATCTATTTATTCCGTCGCGTTGTCTTAATTTACTTTTTAAAAAAACTGATGCGGACATGAAAATAGCACAAAATCACGCTTGCGCTAAATTAAGGTGTTAAAATCAGCTTTCCCCCCTCACTTTGTAAGGCACATTTCTGCCACCGGAATATCCAAGTATTTTAGTTCTGCGAGGCTTTTTTAAAGCCTCGCGTTTAGCCTCCGAAAGCACGGTTTACATCACAATACATACATGAATAACCCAACCCGGCACAGTTTGGCCTCTCGTTCGTTCTGTTGATATTGGCCTAATAATTAATTTTCCTGTAAAGCTCACTGTTATTATCGAGCAAAAAGAGGACAAAAGCAGAGGTGGCAGACAGACAAGTGAAGACGCTCTTCTCTGTTTTATGTCACGATGTTTAAAACGCCCGAGTTATAATAATAACAATAATAATGTTGGTGTTTTTTAAAGAAGATCTGGGATAGCGGAAGTGTGGTTTTCTCACCTCTCGCGAACAGGTTGGAGAAGTCGGTCTCGGTACGGCGGAAGCGCGCGTCCCTGTCGCTGTTATCGCACGAGAGCAAGTTCTTCTGGCCCGCGAGCCTCCCCTTCTCCTCCAGGCTGTTGTTCTTCTGCAGGAACCCTAAGGTGTTGCACGGCGAAGAGAAGGAGTTATCACCAAACATCTCCATCCCACTCATAAAAAAACAAAACAAAAAGAAAAGAAAAAGAAAAACGGCGAAAAGCGAAACCAACAATTAAAATATAACAAAATAAATTTCTAAAAAAAAAAGCAAGAAAGAAAATTGAGATTTTTGTGAAATTTTTTAATCAGCTCATAAACAGCCGGAATACTTTAATCTGAAAAGCTTCTCTGTTGGAGGCCAAATTTATATAAGCTAAGTAGGAAAAGGAAGCACCCGTGGGTGCCCGCCTTACCCTGTGACATCACAGCCTCACCCCGTCAGGAAGCACCCAGCCAGCTTGCCCCTCCCCTATAGGCGCAGACTGATTGCCTCGGTGCTCAGGACAGGCTGCGACACACAGCCAATAAATACACACCCTCCGAAGAGGGGTTAATGAAGGATGCAAAATGCCCTGAAGCAGCGTGTCTCTACAGGGCCACCGTCAGATTTTATAAGCTTTTCGCATATATGTGCAGAATAATGCGTGGGCCTAATTGCGCGTCAAAAACACGGGGAAGCCATACGCTCTTTGTTGTCGCTTAAATTAAAAATATATTTTCAGTAAAAATGTTCATTGCTCATTAATAAACCGTATGAATAATTAGTGGCCACTGCACGGGGTTAAAACGTCATTTAACTAATTAAAATCCGATGATCACTTACTAAAAAACAAACAAACAAAACAATGTCAGACTTTCTCAGACTTGTGCTGCAGTAAAGCGGTCAATAATGCGCCTTTTGAATGGGTAGAGCTTTACGTGACACTGAATTCAACTTGCGTGACTGCAAATAAATAAACATCCACACTTTCCATCGTGTGAGCCTCTGAAAGAAGCAGATTCCTTTAAGTGATGGAGAAAATAAACGTCACATCCACCCCCTCCACTGTAACAAAAAAGAAAAAAAGAAAAAAAGGGGGGCTATTAGAGACACTGACAGTAAGCCTGAGAAAAGTGACTCAAGAAATAACCGGATGTGATAGGAAAAGCAAATCGTTACGAGTTATTTTAAGGCACGTTCTGCTTTCTGTTTCCAGGCTTGTCCCGGAGATTTTTCTATTGGTGCTGAAATGGGAAAGACAGGGGAGGGTGCAAGGAGGGGCGGGGGGCCTGATCCGGGGCTCTCCTCAGCAGACCTACAGGCTAATGTCCAGTGACCTTTGGAAGATGGAAACGCACAGTGACAGTGTGGAGGACGGCCCCGCTCTATCAACCTGTAATGTGGCCTATATTTCTGAGGGCCTCAAAATGAGTAAGATCATAATAAATCGTAAAAGAAAATGTGAGCCGGTCAGAAGAAAAAAAGGAAGGAAAGCAGTCACAACGGAATTCAATATCGAGAGCCATGGTATGTCAAAAAATCTTTAAAAAATGTATTTCTTTATTTCATTTTCTTAAATAACATCTTCAAGATTAAACCATTTTTTTCGTGGCGAAACAAAACTTACCGCAAATCTTCATCCCCAGTTTCCTTGTGCATCCGTGCATCCACGCGTATTCGTTGGCTAAAACAAAATGAACGTTTGAGTTTCTGAGCGTGGAGACCGCGAGCAAATGTGGTGAGGCGGGTGATGGAGCACAGCGTGCACATGGAACAAAAAATAAATAAATGGAAGCGTGAAGGAGCGACTCTTGGCCAGGTGTGCGACTGTGGGGTGTTTGGGTATATTCATATTTTCTGTAAAGAATTACACGGACTGTTTTGCTTTGTTGAACACGGATTTAGCCCCCTTACACCCCCTCTGATCACAAGGGGGGGATGAGTCTGCTAACACTTCCGATTTGAGTTCAATCAATAGGGACCGACAGTGACCCGCACGGCAAATCCACGCCGGCTCACACACCCAGCCAAAGGGCGGACTGGAATTAACACCCGTGAAATGAGCTCACGGAGGAGGGCAGAAATTAATTGAGTGGATCGCAGTATGTGAGTGGAGCGAGCTGGTAATGTCTCTGGTCTGGAAGTATACAATAGGTGCTTGAAGCACAAACTTGGAGCGTAGTGCGTTGACGTACACACACACACACACACACACACACGCATATACACTTAGTGCCACACACATGCACACACAAACCGGAGCGTGGACACGCGTGAGCTGAGATGGAGCAGAAAGCCTGAGGGAACAAGATGCAGAGCGCACGGCGCAAAAAGTGAGAAGCGACGAGGCGAATGTACCTGATGTAGAACTTGCGAAAACAAAAAAACAAGCATTTAAATTTACTGAAGCAATCTCATTCCGACAAAAAACAGCCCTAGGTGCGGAGGCCGAGGCATAAAAACACACATACACGGACACACACACAGACGCGCGCGCACGCAAAGCCGCCAGGCGTGAGATGGAGCGTGGCAGAGAGATAATGGCAACATCCAGCAGCAGCAGCAGCAGCAGTACACGAGCAAACAGACAAAACAAACATCCTAGTTATAAAGGACATTTTCTTGGTTTGAATTTCCATGAAAGAAAAAGTCTGAATATTTTTTATATGTTTATTGGCACTCAAGGGCCACAAATAAAAGATTTCGAAATTTTGTATCCGGTAACGAGGAAAGGAAAATAAAGCATGTATTTGCACACTGGACAAAAGGAGCTGCAGGCTATCCCTGTAACGTTTTTTCTGAAAAAACAAAACAAATCAAAAACTGCAATTATTTCCCTGCTTTGGACTGCAGATGGCTGCTCAAGTGTGCTCTAATGGAGTCAATTTTGTGTATGCGACAAAGGCTCGACGTGATTAATTGACCCACAGGTTAATGCACAGGTTTAGATTTTTCTTTTTTAAAAAGGAAGCGAATAAAAAGCATGCCTAAACTATGAGAATTATTACAGACAATTCTTATATCAATTTTTTTTTTTTGCTTTATCAAGACGAAAGGTGCACAGGATCAAATCTTCAAATCCTCATCCTTTTATTTTGGGTTGAAACTCATATTTTGAATAGAACACGTTCAGGAAAAACGCTCCGAGATCGTTAGAAACCCCAGCGCTTTAATGGCGCATTATTCCTGCCAGGTCCGCCGCTCGGCGCGCACCGCTGGTCCGCCAGACAGCGACAGGCAGCTGTGATGGCTCTGTTTTTAACCGGAATGATTAACGACGGAGCCCACACAGCAAATGGCCCGGGCTACACTCTCCTTTATCAGACAGGAAAGGAGGGGAGAGAGACAGAGAGGGAGAGAGAGAAGCAGACAGAGGCGCGTGGAGGGTGAACCTGGGTTTAAACCGCTGTGCTGGCGATAGATCGCGCTGCAGAAGTGTCTTTGAGCAAGGCACCGAGTGGCTTTCACCACAGACCGAGCGCTCTGAAGACTGAAAACCATAAACACAATTTAGCCTCGGGGAGCCGAAGCCAAAGTGTTGTTAACAGGGAGAGGAGTGTGGGGACCTACTTGTGGTCGGAGGTCTTAAATTAGCTGAGTTGGGGTCTTGTTCCCCGCCGGCGGCTCTCGGCTCAGACGTAGCCATCAGTCCTGTGTTACTTTGGTTTCCGGGTGCGGGAATTATTCAGCTGCAAACAAAACGAGTCAGTGTTAGGAGAGACTGCGTGTCGGATTTACGATAACTGCGTGCAGTTTAAATGGCAGGCCGAGATTTTGATCAGAAAACGCACGGATTTTGCTCCGTGCGTCACCAGGAGCGCTTGATTCTCCCTTTAAACGGCTGAAGCCGCGCAATTTGGAGTGAGTTGCGCACAACGCGCAACCAAGACGCACATCGCAATACTTTGGGGGATAAAATGGCTGCATGGGTATAGGTTTTATTTAGAGACACTCTTCGGATTGTGTTGCTTTCAGTCAGCTGTTAACTAACCCAGCGCTTCTGCATGACACAGGTTTACAGATGGGCCACAGATTTACAGATTTGTTTTTTGTTTTTAAGTTGGGAACTAGCAAAAGAAACATGGCTCGTTCTTGCAGTAAGTTCTTGTGGATCGTTAAAACCAAATCATCGTTTAATTTAAAAAGAAAAAAAATGTTTTGTTATATAACAGATGACATTTTAAACGACCAAAACCAAAATATTAAAGAAAGAACACGTAAGGCCCGCGTTTCCCATCGTATAAAATCACCGAGATGATCAGAAAATCAGAATAAAACGAATGCATTAAAAATGATGCTTCACAGGCAGCAAATATTGATAAAATGAGGTGACAGTGTCCACATAAATAACCGTTAACCCATTCATGTGTTGACTCAGTAATCGACATTTCAATTAAGATATGCTTTGAACACCACCCTTACTACAATGTCATCACGAGACAGAGAGGCAGCGAGAGAGGGAGAGAGAGGGAGAGAGGCTGAACAACTAATAAATTCGTTTTGTCTCCCGTCTGAGAATGATTTATGTGAGAATTCTATTATTATTATTATTATTGTTTAATTTTTGCTCTGATATATTGTCCTCCAAAGCTGATCTCACGATATCAGCGGCTGAAAAGTGGAGTGGTTTAAGCATCTTCCCCCCCAACCTCTGTCTCTGAAGAAACAGACACGAAGGGTGCAGCTGGAGAAGAAAAGAAGGGATCTTACCGGCTCACGAGGCGCACAGGTTGTCGAGTCCAGACAAAGTACAACTTAAATGTTACAACTGCCACCCGAAGGCGCGACAAGAAACAGTCCAGTGGTGGCGATGGCGGAATATCAACAGAGCGCACTGATAAAATCCCATCCGGCGGCGCGCAAGTGACCCTTTCTCACTCAAGAATATTTTTATTCGTTATTTATATCTGAGGATCCGGCTGCCCATTGGTCTCTTCACGCAGGCATGAGTCACAGCCTTGCCTCCCACCCTGACGGCTAATGAAGCTTCCCTGAGTGCTACTGACAGCTACAATCCACTTTAAGGAACCAAACAAGCAAAAGGAAAAATACCGATGACGTTTACCCGCCCCTGTGTGCGTATATATGTGTGTGTGGGCGAGCTCTTGTGTCTCCAGGTGTGGGTGGGTGTCACAGGGATGAGGGTGGAGACTTGAATGTAAATTTGGTTACATAGAAATTGACCTTGGAATGAAACTGCACAGCTGGGCTTTTAAATACCAACAGATACATATTCAGAACATCCAGTCCATCTCCTCATATCTGTTGATTGACTGGGTTTTGAGGACCTGTGGAAGCTGTTAGGTCATTTATTCCAGAATGGACACACGTATTATAAAGCGAGCAGGACAAACCATCCAGGAGCCATCCATCCATGCAAGCACTGTCTGTAATATTCACCTTCATGAGATGAAAACATTGCCTACATCATAATTTCTGACCTACTCACTGCTTTAACTGCGGACAATAACGCCGAGACTTCAAAGCATGGCGGGCGCTGGCTTAGTGTCCTTTCTGTCATCCTCACGCCTGCCTCTGGATCCAGTGCACAGGCAGGGACCAGCCATTATGTTCATTCAGCCGCTGCAATTTATTCAGCCTTTATCAGGAGCCAATCATATCTTTCTACACTCACAAGTGACATGTGGAGATGCATAAAGATAAACTCAGACTGATGGCATTCAACAAGGAGGCTTAGCTGCTGGGATTTACATCTGCACTAAAACAGGGCACATAAAAGGTCTTCAGTGCTTATGAGTTTACATAGGCTAACATTTTATTTGTGCTAATTTAATTGCCACCATAACAAAAGACTGGATAGTGGACCAGATGGACTCCAGAATCAGTCTTTTTGTTTGGGTCACGTTACAGCTCTCATCCACAGTGAAAACTGAAAAACAAAACAAGTAAGAAATCATGACTTTGGTCTCTCTTGTTTCATGCACAAATTTGTGAAATTTACATACTCCTTATATATTATTATTATTATTATTATTATTATTATTATTATTATTATTATTATTATTATTATTATTATACCACATCTTTTCCCTGTCACGCAGCATCACTTATCATCTTTACAGAGAGAGAGCTGATGTTTAAAGAATCTTGAAATCAAAGCCATGGGAGGATTCAGCAAACATGGTGGTAGACGTGTAAACTTCCAGGGGAAAATGTTTTTTTGTTGAATTTCATGCAATCTGAATGAAGATACATAAACATGTTTTTGTATGTCCCGGTGACAATTTAAATTAAAGTCAGTTTAGATAATGTTTCACCATAACTGCTAGAGTTAGCATCAAAGGGGTTACCAAGTTGGCTGCAGAGTGTCCAGATTGCTGCTAGGAGACCAATAGTTGGAGACTGCTGATGACACTTTAAGTGATGCTCAAACATAACCGCTTAGAAGATTTTTGACTGTTAAATATCTGTTATTATAACAAGAATGAGGAACACCACTGCAGCATTTACATATAATCAGATCTATAGGCCGAAACTCCTCAGCTGCTTCTTTGTGTTGAGCGGTCAGCTGCTAACTGCATGTGCTGTGTGTTCCTAGTGTTCAGTTTTGGCATGTCTGGTCATAAAACTGCAGGGTTGTATTTTCCAATGCATTTTTAGCATCAGTTCAAACATGCTAAGATATTTTACATTTAATCACATAATGATTCTCAAAATGGATATGACACTGATCGAGTGGATTCATTTACAGTCTCTTCTGCAGGTCAACGCGCAAACGTTTATCGGATATATCAGGAAGCGTGTGTGTGGTTTGTCCGTATATTTTCACAGCTGATCTATCAGCGATTTATCAGTTCACATTTTCAGGAAATGAGGGCATCCGCTCAGTCCACATGAGCTCCTTTAATTCCAGGTGAAAATATGAGAGAATATGTAACTGTCACTGTGTCTACACTGAAAAGACTGCAACTGTGGGCAGCAGCAGTGTGCCTTAAAATAAACACAATATATGTAACTATATGTATTTAAGGGTAAATATGAGCAGGAGGGCATGGCTTGTGTCTGTAAACATGGTTTTCCTTTTCATAATCATCACCGTGATCATCATCATCTGAGGCTGATGAAGAGGAGCAAGATGAGCTACGAGAGGGGTCCTCATCACTTCCAGAATCAATGTCATCATCATCATCCTCATCACTTTCTTCCTCGTTGCTTTTCTCTGCGTGTTGCTCTGATGGAAAAATCAAACAACACCTTCGATGTTTAGTCTGTAACATGCAGCCTAAAGTGTTTGTACAAAGACAACTGTCACCTTCCCGCAGCTTCTTCTGGATCAATGGGAGGAACTCTGAGGCCTCAGGATTGTCTGGCTCGTAGAGGAGAACTGGAGCGAAGAGAGAAGAAGAAGGCAGGAGGCAGCATTGACTAACTTGACGGCTCGCTAACTTATTCACTGACCGATAGATAGACGTATAGCAGACAGGCGCAGGATACGTACTCATGTGACAGAGTTTAACAGCCAGCTGGTAGTAATTGTCCTTCAGAGCTCTGAGGAACTGAAAGTTAACATTTTCACTTTAAAGTTGAGCAAAAACATTTCAGACATGCAAATAAAAAAAGCACTCTGTCGACAAAGCATGAAGTGTGGACAAGCTGGACCAGTTGCATTACTATACCTTCATTAAAAGCTCCACCGGAGCCTTAAGGTCTTCACACTTCACATTCTCAGTCTGTTCTTTGTCCTCTTTAGCTTTATAGATGAGGAGCGGTTCAGCTGGTGCGTGAGCATTTGTTGGTCCCCCTGACAATCATCACCATAATCACTTTTTAATGTTATTTCTTTTGCCTTCGTGCTTTGCATTTAATCCTGTACCCACCTGTTCCTTTTGAGCCTGAGGTCTTTAACGTCTCAGTGCCTTTCATTTCCAGCTGCTCCACAGGTGATCTGTGTCAGAACTGTATCAGAGGCATATATCATTGATCTGATCACTGGCTGGAAGAATTTCGATACTGTGTGGCTCTAGAAGTGGGCCACACACAAACTCAAAGAGCAGCTCAACATTATAAAACAATATGAATGCAGAGAACAAGTCTAAATAAAAACCAAATGCTGTCCAGAATAAAGGGCAACATTTACATATAGATGCTCATTTTCCAGGGGTCTGTGTTGGTACTCGTTCGTCTACTGTAGGACAGACTTCGAAAGCAACAGCAATGAAAGAATTCATTTCCTGTCATCTTCACCGGGTGTAAATTCCCTTCACCACGTCCCATAGTTGCAGTCTAATTACTTATTTTATGTGTACTCTAACTGAGAGCAGAAACACCTCTTATCCTGTACAACTCTACATAAATGAATAATAATGTTTGTTTTTTGTTGCCCAAAACAAGACATATATAGCAGCCTTTGAGAGTCTTGCTGCTTATGGTCTTCTTATAATAACTACCAGATGAGCGTTTTAATGTGATTACTCAGGAACTACCGTTTTTGTCATCTCACAAAATCAAAAAATGAAATACTGATGACAAGCAGAGGAACACATGAAGCTAACGTTGTCATTAAAATCTTTTCACCATCCGGTTTGCAAGTTGCTTTAGCAGAAAGCAACATCCAGGTGAAGACACAATAAAAATACTAATTATAATTATTATACAGCTTCTTAATAGGATGTGTAGGGCAGTGAAAAGACAAACTTGAAAAATGTGTGACCCAATTAGAGCAACGAGTGTCCTGCCCAACAACTGCATAGAATGAGCAGCCTGTGAACAACAGGCGCAATTCAAAGAAACAGCATACCTGTAGCTAGTAGAAGCAGACCGTCACGGACACCTGCTGTTGCACAAGATAATTATCTGCTTTAAGTCTGCGGTCCTGTTCTCTGAATTTCTGACAGTTTCTTGCAGTGGAAGTTGACGGTTGTAACTTTAGCTGTCGGAGAAGGAGGTAAACAGCCGTTACTAAGCAACGGCGTAACGCACACTCGCTATGGCCTTCATTGTTGCCGGAAATTTGGCCATTATATCAGAGACATG